CGGCTGCCAAGAAAGCCAATGCAATTCTTGGTTGCATCAATAGGTGTATAGTGTCTAGATCAAGGGAAGTGATAGTACCACTCTATTCTGCTTTGGTCAGACCTCATCTGGAGTATTGTGTCCAGTTCTGGGCACCTCAATTCAAGAAGGATGTTGACAACCTGGAATGTATCCAGAGGAGGGCGACCAAAATGGTCAAAAGTCTGGGAGCCATGTCCTATGATGAGCGGCTTAGGAAGCTGGGAATGTTTAGCCTTACAAAAAGAAGGTTAAGAGGGGACATGATAGCCATGTTTAAATATCTGAAGGGATGTCATGTCAAGGAAGGGACAGGTTTGTTTTCCAGGGCTCCAGACACTAAGACAAGGAGCAGTGGTTTCAAACTATAGGAAAAGAGATTCCACGTGAATCTCAGGAAGAACTTCCTGACAGTCAGAGCTGGTCGGCAGTGGAATAGGCTGCCTCAGAGTGTGGTGGAGTCTCCTTCTTTGGAGGTTTTTCAGCAGAAGCTAGATGGTCATCTGTTGGGAGTGTTTTGATGGGAGTTCGTGCATGGCAGGGGGGTTGGACTCAATGGCCCCTGTGGTCTCTTCCAACTCTGTGATTCTATGATTCTAAAATGTATCCATATCCCAGTTCTAGGCATATATAATAGAGGCTGGCAGGACTGTTCCTGGGGTTACACTATCCTTTCAGAAAAGTCTGATTCAGAGGATTATTGTCCCCATCTAAGGGCCAGCCAGGCCCTGCTATTAGGCAGACTGCAGTAGTGACCTGGAATAGGAGATTTGGGATGTTACAAAAGAGCATCAGATTTTTAATTATTTGAATGATTATTGTATTTTTGTTGTCATAGCTTATCAGATTTGCCTGCGTTTTGCCCATGTCCCATTACAACCTGATAGCCTTGAGGAGAGGATGCCATTTGGTGCTCTGTCTCTGAAAGCAAAATGTATTTGGCTGGCCCTGTCAAATCCTTTTACTTTACCTGAACACATGCAAGTGAGAGAGAAACAGAGCCACATTTGATCCTCTCACTGCTTACATAGCACTCTCAAATGCACATCGCCTAAGTCTCTAAGGACACCGCAGCTTGGGGGGGGGACACTTTTTCTGCATGGTCTCAGAAATGCACTTTTGCAACAAAGCGTATCTAGCCCTGTCTAGCTGACTGAGCTATTGTCTTGCTAGCCACCGGCTCATCTGATTTCCACACAAAACCCATTTGCTACACTGATCTATATCACAGTTACTGTTTTGCTTCAGCGGCATAATGTCTAATGTCTAATGAAGCAGTGATGAAACAGATGGATACTTGATCATCAGATCTAGGGACCATCAAGATATCTCCAAGAAATTACATATACCTTTAACACAATCTATATAATAGTGTATTACACAACTATTTATGACATTTGTGCAAAATGACACATGCAACCAGACTGCATTAAATATAATGATGCACTGTATAGTTATTATGCCAAAAGAAGGCATAGAGTAGAATAAAGTCATGGCTTATCTCAATCTACAGCTACATTATTGCTCTTTTAAGTTCAAGAACAAATTTTTCCAGTTCTTATTATGATATTCTTCCAAGGAAGCTAGCATTATTGCTCTTTTCAGTTCAAGAACAAATTTTTCCAGTTCTTATGATTCTCTGATTTGTACTTTTATTCTACCCTCGTTTCTACTCTTTTCTCAGAGAAAGCATGGAATTTTGACATTTGCAGATTCATGCAGACTCATCTGCAAAGTAGCTTCTTTTTTTTTTTAAATGACTTTTTATTACCTGACTTTCTTCTTACTCTCTGTGTAGTAATACTTTCTTTAGAATTACTGGACGATTTCAGCTCTCCTTCTGGGCTGTAATGGAATCCTGGGTGATCTGTTAGGAAACCAAAGAAATTATATTCAAGTATTACTTGACACATTGCGATAAGACTGTTGACAAGTGTTCTATTATGTTTTCCAGGGAAGTTTGGTTAAGAAATAAAACTCAGAATGTAGCTATATAGACTTGAGCAGGCCTGGCTATGAATATCTGAGGATCTCTGAAAACTAGCATATCTCTTCACTGTCTCCACCCCACCCTGAAAGCATTACTTGTGTTTTACTCCTGTTAGTGAATGGCTGCCTCAGGGATGCCTCTCATATAAAGGCAAACTTGGCAGCTACATTACAATGCCCATATTCCAGAGCTGCCCATCTCATAGATAATATGTCCATACACTTCAAAGAAAGTCCTCTCAGGAAAAAGCACCACATATGGAGGACCTGTGTCCTCCAGCTCTGGTTGTTATTTCACAGGGAGGAACAGCATTTTCTCTGTGCAGTTGTCCCCATCAATTATTCATGCAGTATACAAACCATGCCACCACCACCACCCCCCCCACACACACCTATCATATAATTTGCTGGTTCTAAATAACATCAAGATTTAAAAAACTGTGCTTTCTTAAAAGACTTCCAAAATTTAAAGGTCTATGTTATTTTTTTTTCCTATGATGAGGCAGTTAGTCATTCATTTTTAGGAGAGCAAGATTATGCAGATATATAATAACAGCAATGAAGATCATAAGGATATCATAATGGAACTGTGGTACTCTATTTCATTGGAAGAGAGGAACTGTAGACTCATAGAATAATTAAGTTGGAAGGGGCCTATAAGGTCATTGAGTACAACCCCCTACTCAATGCCGGAATCCAGATCAAAGCAGGTCTGACAGATGGTTGTCAATTTTCTCCTTAATGCTTCCAGTGCAGGAGTGCTCACCACCTCTTCATTGTCATACTGCTCTAACAATTAAGTTGTTTTCCCTGATATTCAGTCTAAATCACTGAATGGTAGAGGAATAAACTTTGATGATGGCTTTTGCTAACTGAAAAAAACGTAATGCTGTTTTTGCTGGGGTTTGACCACAGGATTGTCCTATTAACAATAATTTGCACAGTTTTACACGCCATACTTTGCAACAGCTTTAGTGACTAAATGTAAATTATCTTTGTTCCTTTGGACATATATGATTAATACTGTTGGGCATACTATCCGTGTTAATTGTAGGGAATGTTTGCTGTACCAAACAAAACAAAACCAGTGCCAACAGTATTCATCATAACAATGGGCCTTATTTACATAACTATCAAGAAATTGAGCCCAAGTATCCATTCTAACATTTGTGAAAAATGTTAATGTTCAAAATGCAAGGTGAAGCCAATGGACAAAAATTTCAGTCTGCAGCATGCAACCCTTTCATAATCTCATAATCTTACTCAACTAATTGTATTTTACTAAGCAAAGTGCTGCACCTATATTTTTGACTACAACTCTCATTTCCTAGTTTGGTCAACAATAAATGGAAGTTGTGGTGGGGAAAGCTATAGAACTGTGAAATCACTAATAGGAAAAATGCAGTTATTTAGAACAGTGGTTCTTAACCCTGGCGATAATGCCCCCAGGGGGCGATTTCATACAGTCATTTAGAAGAGCAGCTGTGTTAGTCTGTGCTAACATATCAGGAAAAACAAAAGAAAAACGAAGAAAAGTAAGACAGAAATGTTATGGCACCTTAAAAACTAACTGCTATATTTTAATTTGAGCTTTCGTGGATAAGTCCACTCCCTCGCACATAAGAAACTAAATGGAAAATATTAGCTGTGTTAGTCAGTGCTAACATATCAGGAAAAACAAAAGAAAAACAAAGAAAAGGAAGACAGAAATATTGTGGCACCTTAAAAACTAACTGCTATATTTTAATTTGAGCTATCGTGGATAAGTCCACTCCCTCGCACATAAGAAACTAAATGGAAAATATTTATATATTTATACATGGCCCCAAATACAGACATTTAATATCTATATACCTTGTTAACTGTTACAAATTTTCACCTTATACATTTCACCTTTATTTATAAAAATGTACATTGATTATTTAAATAGCATATACTTACAGACAGCATCCATTTCAAGAATTGCCTGCTTGGCCTGAAAAATAATTGTGCGTGTATTGTGTGAATTCCAAAGACTATATATGAGGGAAATGGTTGAAAAATCTATTATTGAGGCATTTACTGCATTTATTATCTTAACTCAATTTATTTTGCACCCCTTAATTTACCATCAGGACCAATACCTCTGATTTAAAAATTGGGAACAAAAAGGCTTGTACATGACCTGTGACTTTTATCTGAATGCCAAACTACTCAGTGAGCAACAAATCAAAGAGAAACTATTCTTAAATTCTCAGTCTGTGATTTCAAATACATCCAATCTTGCACTTCATTCACTTAAAAGAAATTTAAAAACAAGCATGACAAACATTTATCCCCTTTGAAAAATGTTTAGACACATTTTCAACCACTTCAACAGGTAATGCACCTACAAATAACACAACTAGGACTGTAAAGGTTTGCATAAAGCAGCAGGCAGCCTAGTTCTTGGCAACTTGTGTAATCATGTGAATGAAACAATATCAAAGTTTTGCACAAAAAATTCTTATTGCAAAAACATTTTTCCGACAATGATGATCCCTGGGAAAGAGAGTCAGAAAATTCCTTATCGTTATTCTTGTTGTGTAGAATGACATTACACTTCCTCATCCTTGTGTGCAAGGGCAAGACAAGTAACGATTTGCCTTGCTACAGGAAACGTACTGTTTGCTTTACAGACAGGTTTGCGATTAACCAGAAAATGTATATTTGCTGTGGGATAGCTAAAAGCAAGCATGGCCCCAGTTGTAACACATTCTCAAGTTGCAGTGCTTTTTTCTTTTCTTAAACTGGTGTACACATTGTTGCTATGGGCGTATTGGGACTGGGCAAGACACTGTTTCCCAGCCCCCAGGTCAAGGTCTAGGAGTGCACAAGACACTTCAGTTAGAAGGAGAGATCTTCTCCTGTTTTCACTGGGTGCTAGTGTTCTGCCATAGAAAGTCTAGCAACAGATGCCACCTTAAGAGGAATTTTTAAAAAGGAATCATTTCCAGATTTGTACAGAGAAATCCCAAGGCATACATACAGCAATGTATTACCTAATCCTAACAGGATAAACACAAAGACAGCATACAGAAAACTTTCATGATTACAGCTGGGTCTCAACTATTTTCCACTAGGTGTCACACATGCACTGCTACAGGTCTGAAAAAGGCTAAAGACAAAAACACTCTGTGATGAGTTCAGTGTGTCTTATTCTCCCTTCTTCCAGCCATTAGACCCGGGGGGGGGGTATACCATGCAACAGTGAATCTGGGGAAGTTGTGAAGTTGTAAAGATGGATAAATGTACTTTGCACACAAATTTATTTTTTTTGAGAGAGAGAGAAATATAGTGTGTTGATAGATGCAAGTTACATCAACACAGGTGCTTATTACCTTTATAAAAGGCAAAGTATCCCCTTTTTTGCCCCAGGTTTTGACATCTCTGAAGTTGTATGGACTTGGAACCTACTTCCATTGCTGCCTACACTGCCAAAAAACTCATTTTCACTGCCAGGAGCCAATCCTGCCAAGAACAATAGACTCTGCACCTGCCATAAACAAAGCTCAGTTTATTTTCTCACTAGTTGCTTTGAGTATTTTTATAGGGAAAAAAAGGATAAACTGTTTATTTATTTTTAAATATTTTAAACTCAGGAAACATTTAAAACATTGATCCTGCCAAGAACAATAGATTCTGCACCTGCCATAACCAAAGCTCACTTTATTTTTCTCACTAGTTGCGTTGAGTCTTTTTATAGAATATAAAAAGCAGGATGAACTGTTTATTTATTTTTAAATATTTTTAAACTCAGGAAACATTTAAAACATTGCTTAACACAGATACTGTCAAAATAAAGTGCATGCCATGGGCTTCTGTGCATGGCAGGCCTGGCAATGTGTGCAAGGATGAAATTGCACTCATTTGCACTCTTCACAGCACTGCAGTGAGCTGAAAGTGTAGACATAATAGTGGGCAATGCAAAGTGCATTGGGAAGGCAGCAGGATAGCCTGAGCAGAAGAGAGACATGTATTTCTTTCTACATAGCTTGGAAACGCTACCCTGGCTCAAGAATTCTGGGCATTGTACTCCCAGTAACTTAACCATCCTCTGATATTTAGATAATAACAAGCCTTACATGAGGACCAGAGGGGAAAAATACATGTGCCCTGTAACAATGGGAAAACAACATCAATTGCTACTCTTTACCATACTGTAATAACGAATGTTCCCATGCTAACATTGCTACAAAGTGAGAAAAGGAACTGCTTTCCAATAACCATTTTCAAAATGTAGTGAAAAAGGAATGGCCTTAGAAAGGGACCATTGTGGAGCACAGGCTTTGCAAAGCCCCTGGTTTTCTGTTCTGGGATCTCCAGGTTTGGGTGGAAAAGAAACCCCATGAATAAGCTAGGTGGATAAACCGTCTGGCTCAGGACAGGGCAGTTTCCTCTGTTCCTGTGCTGCTCCTTTGACAAGTGATTTGTTAGGGTAAGTATTCTGAACAGAATTCTTGTTTTGCTCATCCAGCAGACAGACCCACCAATCCAGGAGCATGATATTATAAAACGTAGAAGATAAGGCTATCGTTGTTTTTGAAGAGCCCTTATTGTAGTGACTTTAACTTTGGTGCAATGCAACCCATGCACTCTTTGTCCATGAGGTGGCTAAACACCTGCATCTCTCATGTAACACTGATAGCCCCACCCCCTTTTTTGCCTTAAATCTGCACTAAAAGGGCAGTTGATAATGTTTTACCTTAGCTGGGATTTTGGCAGGATGGTTTTCCAATATTAATCTCTTCAAGTGAAGAATCCAAAGGCGCTTGTCTTGTTGCGATTTAGCCTGTTGCAAAATCGTAAGAATGCAAAAACGTTATGGATAGAAATAAGAAATATGGAAGGAGACAGTTGGCTAAGTTATCTAACTGAATGTTGAGCAGAATCTAATTCTCACTGAAAAGGAGACAGTTTCTTTCACAAATGCATTTGTGACGCCTGCTATCATTTATACACTTCTCCCTTGAATTGCACAGGACAGAGTGGCATCATTTTCTTTATACACAGTATGTATGTATGTATGTATGTATGTATGTATGTATGTATGTATGTATGTATGTATGTATGTATGTATGTATGAATAAATAAATAAATAAATAAATAAATAAATAAATACAGCTAGGCGGTACCGTGCAGGCAGCACTACTCTCCTCAATTACTTTGGAAGACACGTATAAGTTTGGCCCCTGACCACCCAGAACCTCATGAGTTCAACACTGAAGGTATCAAAGTGGTTTATTTGCCCCAAACACAACATAATCTGATTCAACCTCTGATTAAGGGATCATAAAGACCTTTAAGGGTATTACGCACAGTACTGTATGGAAAGGATTGCCAAAGCTATGGAAGAGTATCCTGGTAGAAGGAACTGTTCTGTCTGTGTCTGTCTGTCTGTCTCTCTGTTAATTATCTGTTCATGTTTTGTAGTTACATTTTGGGGGCATAACAGTTATATAAGAGTCTTGAACTACACGGGAGTCCACCGCTTCTTACCTCAGTGTTGTTGAAAGGAGAAGTGTATTTGTTTATTAATATTATTGTATGTTTTATTTTTGCAACATTTATCATTGCAAAAAGGGACCATCATGTTAGCTCACAGACTATAAGAACCTAACATGAAAATGACTGAGGAGCAAATTTGAAAACTAATAGACTGGTGTTTCCAGTAGTGTTTTGTGTATTTGCACTTTATGTTTGCAGCTCTGCCCCTTCAACTTCCATAATGTTCTTATGCTGTTCCTTTCATAGATATATAATTATTTGAAAAACTACATTTGCCGAACTAATACAGCAGGGATGGGCAACTAAGGCAACTATGGGAGCCAAACATCAGCTCTGGATATTCTCTGAGGGTTATGTGAACTACTCAATATGTCAGAAAAGGGAAGAAAACTAAACAGGAAGTGGCCAGAATTCCACTTTCTGATTTATATAAAAAGGGAGGGGGAGGTTGTTTGTTTTGTTTCTAATGCTGAAAGGAGGCTCTATGACCTAGTTAAAAGGTGAACTGCTGCTTCCTGGAGGCATCTATATGTCCAGTTTTCTTTCTTTGATGAAATCATTTTTGGACACAGTTCAGAGGATTCTGATGGGCCTGGGAAGGGACAAAAAGATATGCTGCATGAAGAGAGGGCATGCTGAGAATCACTTTGTAAAGTGAGAAATAGCTCTTTAAACTATTCCTAAATAAGAATATTGTGAATTTAGACACTACTATTCACAAGCTCAACATTTAAAAAAAAACTAAGATCATGGCCACTGGTCCCATCACCTCCTGGCAAATAGAAGGGGAAGATATGGAGGCAGTGAAAGATTTTACTTTCTCGGGCTCCATGATCACTGCAGATGGTGACAGCAGCCACGAAATTAAAAGATATCTGCTTCTTGGGAGGAAAGCGATGATAAACCTTGACAGCATCTTAAAAAGCAGAGACATCACCTTGCCGACAAATGTCCACATAGTCAATGCTATGGTTTTTCCAGTAGCGATGTATGGAAGTGAGAGCTAGACCACAAAGAAGGCTGACAGCCAAAGAATTGATGCTTTTGAATTGTGATGCTGGAGGAGACTCCTGAGCGTCCCCTGGATAGCAAAGACAACAAACCTATCCATTCTAAAGGAAATCAACCCTGAGTGCTCACTGGAAGGACAGATCCTGAAGCTGAGGCTCCAATACTTTGGCCATCTCATGAGAAGAGAAGACTCTCTGGAAAAGACCCTGATGTTGGGAAAGTGTGAAGGCAAGAGGAGAAAGGGACGACAGAGGATGAGATGGTTGGACAGTGTCATAAAAGCTACCAAAATGAATTTGACCAAACTCGGGGAGGCAGTGGAGGACAGGAGGGCCTGGCTCACAAACAGATTGACTGGCAGAGAATTTTACATTCCACCTTCAAATTTTGGTTTAAACTCCATCTCAATTCCCACCCAACCTCCATTTTATACAACCTTATCCATGACTCTCACATATCCAACTGGTTTAAACTAGTAGACGCCAAGCTTTCTACCCTTGACCTATCCCCTGAAATCCTGGCTGACCTCGACCTTCCTAAAGCCCACCTTATCATTAAGTCTAAATTACTGGAACAAGAAACCCGTACCCTCTTATCAAACCTCAATCCCACTTGTTCACCATCCTATTTCGGGCTCCCCCCCTTACTGGGCCGCCCAGCCAGTTACCTCTTTCATCTGACAGACCCAAGGAAAAGGAGGGCTTTCCTCCTCGCTCGTTTAAATATTTTCCCATCTGCCTATCATCTTGGTAGATACTCCAACATCCCCCGACCAAACAGACTATGTACATTCTGCCTCCGTGAACCAGACACAGTAGCCCACATCCTACTTCGTTGCCCATCTCACTCCGCCCTTAGATCTTCCTACTAAACCCCTTTCTCCAAACGCTCCCTCCCTCCCTCTCTGATCCCCTCCCAATCCTCCTTAGTGATTCCCTCCCAATCACTACCAATCTCGTCGCGGAATTTTTGTCAACCATTCTTATGAGCAACCGCAACCCCCATCATTAACAACTAAATAACAAAATTCACAAACAGATCAACTGGCAGAGAATTTTACATTCTAGTACTTGAAATGAAAAGTAGAAGCTTTTTCCAGCAAACAGTGGACAAATTTATTATTCAGGATACTGTGGGGACATGTCGTTATGTTTAAGTATGTAATTATTAAACCTCAGTAACTTACAAGAAAACTCATTCCATCGTTTTATTCTCCAGACCACATCACTGTTTCCAGACCTCAATATGTTTCTGTAAATTGACTCATTCCCTCTGCTTCCCAATGAAATTGGCTTACTATGAATGAACTAATATGCCACTGAGAGTGCGACTTCATAGTTTAAAACTGTGGAAATTGCTCTACTTAAGAAATGGGAGACTTTGATGTATTTTTTAATGACTACATGACACAAAGCCATTTTTGCTCTTACGTTGTTGTTTTTCCTCTGCCACTGAGGGAGTTCTACTTTTTCAAGCTGAAACAATCTGAACTGGCTTTTTCCCGTACACCAATATATTCTTTTAAAAATAGGGTGTATCTATAGGTAGGAAGGACAGGTTCTGAAGCTGAGGCTCCATAGGGTGCATCTATAGGTAGGAAGGACAGGTCCTGAGGCTCAGGCTCCAATACTTTGGCCATCTCATGAGAAGAAAAGACTCCCTGGAAAAGACCCTGATGTTGGGAAAGTGTGAAGGCAAGAGGAGAAGGGGACCATAGAGGATGAGATGGTTGGTCATTGAAGCTACCAACATGAATCTGACCAAACTCCGGAAGGCAGTGGAAGACAGGAGGGCCTGGTGTGCTCTGGGCCAGGGGGTCACAAAGAGTCAGACATGACATGACTAAACAACAACATAAGTGGGAAGAGTTTTGGTGATGTAGGCAGTTTAACGACTAAACAACAACATAGGTGGGAAGAGTTTTGGTGATGTAGGCAGTTGGGGAATGATGTTCAGACTGGCAGTGGCGGAGGGGGGGAAAGTAATGCAAAAGCAAAGCACCATGATTTTAATATTGGGGATCCTGAATCCTGTCAGATCATCTCGGAAGGCCCTTTTGTTGTGAAGCAAAAGCTTAGTGCTGTTAATTACTTAATTGGTCCAGACTCTGCTGATCTTTTTATGATTCATCATGAAGCCACATTCTCATTAAAAACTGCAGAGTATTACATTTCTTAAAAACTCTTCTATAAAAAAATAACATGGAGAGATACTTCACAGTCTAAGAGTACAAAACAGCAAGTGTTTGAACAGCAGTTCTGCAGAATACATCGTAATTCACACATCAGAATGATTCTCTCACAGGGGTAACAGAGGTGGGACCAGAGAAAGGAAGTGGGGCTGAAGGCTGTAATGCAACTTGCATCAAATTCAGTATGAAGAGTAAATTTTCAAATCAATCTGCAGCCTATATGAGCAATAATTGCAATTTCAAATGTAATACAGGCTGCAAATCAAATTCCTGTGTAGTCACACCTTGAGACATTCATTCTTCATAATGAAGTGAAATAACGGCTTTCCAACAAACCAAAGAAGCCACAGACAAAGCAGAACCTTCCAAAGTCTTTTTCAATATTTGTATAATCATCACAATGCATGGAATAAAGCACAAGATTCCTCACATCCATCCCCAAAATTAGTTCTTGCAATATTTTTTGCATTAATTTGGATGTCATACTTTTCTCCAAACGGGAAGGGCTACTCCAGACTGGATCATACAAAACAAGGACCTGAAAGTAGGGGACTGATTATATGACACAGGCGACAGTGATACTTCCTGGAAACTATACCATGTGAATGAAAGCCTTAAAGCATTGGTCTTTAATACCTGAACTGTATGCTGCATCTTGGGATTTTTGTAATGGAAGACACTAAAACTAAGTGGTTCCTTTGGTATTACTTCCACCAACATGAGATTGCCACACTGCAAAAGAAAGAAACAGACTCATCAATCAAAACAAACTCTTTTTAAAATGGTAAAACACCCCATATCCTCTCCTCTGCAGCACATGGGCTGCTCCTTCCCTTTAGATTACCCCTAGCTAGTATACAGTTACATACCAAGATATGAGCTTTGTAAGTAAACATGTCTTCTCTCTTCTTAGTAATAAGCAGCAGTTTGTCAAAGAGGAACAAAGTGCGCTCACTTTTGGCTCTCTGGATGCGGAATGTTCCTTCTAAAACCAGCTCTCCATAACTAGCAAGGTCTGGTCCTTTCCAATTAGTGAGTAAACTTTGTATCTCCTGCAAGAGAGGGTTGAGGGTCAAAGGCAGTACGCATATGTGAAAAATAACAACACAGTATTCTAGAATAACTTCATAGTTATAAGGAAGTCCTGATTGTGTTACTTCTACAGTCAAGAGTGTGCAAAATCATTTCTTCTATACAAATAGTAGTGGCATATTTCTTTCACCATACAGGGGCCTAACTCTGAGAGAGGCCCAGAAGGAAGAAACTAAAAATAGGACCTTCTCGGTGGTGGCTCCTCACCTTTGGAGCACACTGCTCACGGAGATTCGCTGGGCCCCCTTGGTGGGAGCTTTTAAGAGTAAATTGAAGACCTGGTTCTTTTTGCAAGCCTTCCCACCAGCTAGTACTTAGCTCCTACTCTTGTCTTTCCCATCTTTTTATTGTTTGTTTTAATCCTATCTGTGTTTGACTGTAAACCACTCAGAGTGGATTTCTCCAGATGGGTGGTATAAAAATCAAATCAATCAATAAATAAATACACCTTCTCCTATGGTAGCCAGACAAATGTATTTCTCCTAAGTGTTGCTAGGCATGTATGTTATGAAATGATACCAATTCAGACATGCCAAGTCCACAGTTATGCTATTTTTTTAGTACAGTCCCCTGGAAATTATGCACAACAGATGACTGAAGCAAAGAAGGTGGGTTTAACAGGACAGACATTCATGGTCAAGAAGACCAATATATGAAAAGAATAGGAAGAAATGTGAAGAGCAAGAAAAATAGGAGGAAGTGTGATATAATAGTGAAAAACAGCACATGTCATCAGAGTCTGAAGTACATGAGAACAAGTAGAAATATTGGCTATTTTCAGCTCCTCAGCAATTATACTTGTGAGTGGCTCAGGCTATTGCAAAGTTGCATGTGGCTGTTTTTCATACAGTCTCACCAGTATCTTCATTTTTGTGAACAATGCAATATGTAAGCACAAAAAATCACAAGTGGTATTCAATTAAGTCTTAGGGTAAGGCTCTTCACCTTGTAGAATGATTACTTTAAGCCAAGAACCATAATGGGGCTTGTGTACAATTATATAACTTGCCAAAACTAACTTCATCTAATCAACAAGGTGTCTGGGTGCATCATGGTTGCAAAATGTGACATGCCAGTGCACTCCATTTATTAGCCACAGTAACCTACACAAATCCTTACATGAATACCATGAGGATTCTGGCCTAGGTTTTTATTTTGCAGCTGTCATCTCTTGAACACAACTGTACAAGGACTAATCACATTAGTTTCAACTGAATTAATGTTGCATGAGAGACACTTGACACAGATGGTTCTTCCTCACCACATACAATTTTCTTGTTGTACATACTTACTTCTGAAATGTAGTATATCTGTTTTGTAACACATAAACAGGCTGAGAATAAAGAAAAGCAGGGTTCAATCTTGCTGAGAACAAAGACATCTCTTTATTTAAGAGATGTGGGAGCAAGTTATGTTATTTTTAGAAGTGAAAAAAATGCATTGTGCACTTGTCCTCTCAGTATCATCTATGGGAGGAGTGAGAAGCCACAGCCACTCCATTTTCTACCCACAGACTCCCATAGGCCATACATGTCTCTTTTGATGAAACTGGAACTGAGCAGAAGATGACTTCTAGTTGAGATCTGTAGACGTGTGATTTTTCTCTTCTGCTCAAATCTGAGGGGAGCCAATTAGTGGGATCCGGGGCTCACCATTTACAATCCTCACCCTAATATGTGGCATAAGTTTTAAAATTCAATTCCCAACTTTGAAATACATTGCAGAACTTTGCCCTGCTGAGCTGCAGCTCAAACTGAACATCCGCATGATGACAACACAGACAGAATATTGAGCTGCTGGAATTGCCTAAGTGTATTCATGCTAATTGCTGAGCACAGACATGTAAGAATTGCTGAGAGGGAAATGTGTATGTCTGGGGGATGTCTGAGACAGTCATGAGAACAATCTTTCAAATTACAAAATTATTACCCAACCAAAGCTCTAAAGAAATTGTACTGGTGGCAAGAAACAATTTGTCTACGAACAGGAAGGACTGGTTTACATTTGAGGTCCATTACACTTTTAGTACAAACTTTCATATTTTTCATACCTTCCAACAACACACAAATTCAAAGAGAAGCTTTTAGTCAGACTCTGAAGGTATTTACATATGCAATGAATCTGATATACATCACAGAATACTCCTTGAGAACGTGAATTTTGTAACACATCAAAATACAGAAAGAGCATATACAATTTAAGTCAAAATCAATTGATTTGCAGTATTGTTGCCTGATACATTTAAAGAAAACATCTGGTAGAAAGGAAAATTCTGTAGATATGGGAATCATTTTGACCCACCTGCAGCCGAATAGCATGCTCATGTTTCCTCTTCATGTCATTAATATGCCATGCCACTCTCTGCATTGTATCTATAGCATCCAAAACCACATCATAACCTTCAGTGTCCTTGTCTAAGTGGTTTTCTATCTCCTAGTAAAGAAGGGAAAAAAATTAATGTACATCTCTTACAGACCTGCACAAAAATATGCTAATAATATTCAGGTAAAATAAGTAAGATACAAGCCAACTATACAAGCAATAACTCGATCCTCAGCACCTTCTTCTTCTTCAGCTTACTTCTCCTGGCAACCCTAGATTAGAGTCTTCATAATATCTAGCATGTGTCTCTCCCTACAATACATAATTCCTCTTGTTCCCCATCTATGTGAGATTTCTCTTCAACCTCACATCCTGACTGGCATCAAGCTAACGGTATATAACTCGTTTCTTCCCATTTCACCCAATTTGCTTGTTTCTCAAAATGTAAATGACATTCTGCTATATTCTATCACATGTGCTTCTCACTTCCGCACATGCTGCCTATTAGGATGTGCAACACGATTTGCTGTGAGAATTGACTGCAATGAAACTATTGAAGAATTCTGCAGTTTCAGCCACACAGACAATAAGAATTCCAAAAGCTTCAGAAAGCTTTACAATCAAGTATAATGGCTGAAATCAAAAGTTGCTTGAATGCAATATCATATTCTTCAAAATCAGTGATCATCTTTGATTTCAAAGATGTATGGAATTTATACTTGGAGTATGTCTTTTCGAAGGGAAAAGGCTATATGTCAGCAAAAGAATCAATGTATTTATGGAAAGGCATGGAGTGAAAAGGAACATAAATTGATATTACTGGTCACCTAGTCTCAAGGGTGAAGGTGGCATGGGTGGGGAAAGTTCAATTTGTTTTGTGTAGTCACTGTTGAATTTGTATTATAGTATTAATTTTGTAAAAAAAAATAAGTGATCTGGAAACAGCTAAACAAGATTTTACATGTCAACTTTGTACTGCAACCATACAGTATATAACTTTGGGCCTACTAAAATAAACACAGCCAACGGCCATGCATTGGGGACATACTGACTTTTCAAGATAATGTTTTATCTATGTTAAATGACAGAAATATGAGATGTATATTGAGACAAACAGATGGGTGGAAAGAAAGGGTGTCCTATCATCCTTCATCAATGGGTTTGCTGGCTAGGGCTGAGGGCTGTTCAGTAACATTTGGAGGGCCACAATTTTCTCATCTTAGCCTTGAAAACAACTGTATCACTCCACTGTGGCTATCAATGAAGAATTTATTAACAAGTAAGTTATTTGGTATCAGAATACACTGCCGTGTTGGGGACAAAGCAAACCAGGGCAATGGATGAGAGGAATATGAAGCAGGAGCCTGAATACATTTTGAATTAAAACCTGATCAGTTATTTTTTTAAAAGAAAAGAAAAGTGGCCAGTTTAAGTATTTTTTTAAAGCATGGATCAATTAAGATGTACAGTTGTGCAGTTCTTTTTTTTAATTACCACAATAAGTCACAGACACACATAACACACAATTCATGTCAGTAAATTTAAAAAATGTTTCTAAGTCATTTCTACCAAGTGCAGGCAATGGTCCTAATGGGTTGTGCATAAATGACAACATACATGCAAAAGCAGATGATACTTCAGTATTCTCTGGACAGGTTTTAAGAGATAGGATCCTAAAGGGAGTGAATGTTGTAGTGCTTCTTGTCTTTCTCTGAAAAATTTGACCAGGGATTTGTTCCTCATGCATTCTGTTAGTACGGCCACTGACCTGTAAGACATATGAAAGCATTTTAAAGCGTTGCTATTTAAACATAGATCAGCTATACAAAGACTGAAATCCTGCTGCTTAATTATGCATGTAGAACACAAATTGGATAATATTCAAGAAATTAATGAGTTGGTGTTGGGATCCTTGGGTGTGCACATGTCTGATGGCTTAGCATGTGCTTGAGAATCCCAAAGGGGATTGGCTTATTTTCTGCTAGAAGTAACTGAATGTTATGCCATTGGCTTTTTACATGTGTAATTAAGCAACAGGATTTCAACCAGAAAAGCATTGCTTCATATGCACAGTATGACATCACCACTGATTACCTCCTTATAATTGCTTTAAATATTGTGAGTTTTCTGTGGAGGATGCACAATAGCATATGTAGTTACAAATCATTATGTGTGATTTTGCGTATAGTTTTTATCATTTTCTGTCTAACACAGAGGTTTTTTACTTGAAGAGAATTTTGGAAGAAAATGGTGTCTTGCTAAATATTACTTCTTCAAAAGAGTAGAGTCTTTGCTCAAGGTACCACCACCTCAGTAATCTCTATCACCAGTACCACCACACACAAATACTTCTGGCAGCAAGGAAAAACAGAGAAGATGTTGACAGATTTCAGGGCGCTTTCTGCTATAGGTTTAGTATAAGATTAATGTGTGATACCTGAATGGAGTTTTTGAAAGAACCCAAATATTTACTTACTATACACTTGTTTTAATATACATTCGTAACATTTGATGATTTTTCCCCATGAAGCAGAAAACAATGCATTTAATTTACTTCTTATTCTCAAATGAACCAATTAACCTGCAATAAATATAAAGAGATAAATCCAATATTGGTCTCAACTAGAGCAACCTCAATATGAAATCAAAATCATATGAAGTCCCACTCATTTCAATGAGTCTACTCCAGCTTGAACTAAATGGCCAGAACTAGACTCTGCCAAGGCTTCTGCTGCCAGAGAGAAGTTGTGCCTGTTGCTTGCAAAACTTCTGCCCTTCTTACTCTGTAGAATTTAGAAATTCTCCAATATGCTATACTAAATCTAGTAGACATCTCGTTTATGAACATTCAGGCAGTCATGAAAACAAAGCATGTCTGTTGGATAATAATGGTTGAAAGATGAATTGGTGTAGGAAAACCGGTTTAATGAAGTGGTTTTCTCACTTAACTACATGCGAGAGGTTTGGAATTCTGGTTTGATAATGGTTTATTTCTGATCCTGACCTAGTCCTTGCTGTTTTTCACACCCCAAAAGCAAAATACGGAAAGCAAAGCAGTGTCATGTTCCAGATGTAGCTGGCATAAATGTACATTACTGTAAAAGCATGTTAATTTGCTTGTACTGCTTGTACTGTACTGCATGGTGTGTCAGTGTCAGAAACAGATTTTGGTGTACTGTTACAGTTTCAGATTATTTATATGGGATGTTTTGTAAACCTTAAATGCTCCTCTGCCATTTATGCAACAGACCAAATAAACGTGTGAACTCCAGCTTGAACTGACACTGGAATCAGCCCAGTATCACATAATGTTTCAAATGAGTTTTATGAAACGGAATATATATCTTCTTGTCTCCTTTTTTGATAACACTTTATATAAACACTATAGCACCTCCTTCTCAGTAAATAGTTACTTTAAATAGCCCTATCACGTTACATTCATCACATTTCAAAACAACATCCATAAAAGAATAACTCTTACCTTGGATAATTGGTGCAATACTGTGTGTATATGTGAAAATCTTCACTCTGTGTATAAGGATAAAAAGTTTTTAAAAAGCTAATTTAGTATGCTGACTTTATCATAGCTGTTGAGAAACTCTGAAACCAACTTTTGTGGGGAAGCAGCTTTGCACACAAATCACTACTAACCTGCCACTCTTCTACAGTTTAGCTTCAATGCTCACCTTAATCACTTGTGCTGTTAAAAAAATACTAACATCTATGAAGTTTCCCTTCCTGTTTGCCTACAGGCAAGTCTTACCTGCCGATCAGCGCTACTCTTAAATAATAATTGAAAGTGGACTCAGTCACTATAATTTATAGTTTATTACAGATTCTGACAGTTTCCTCCTTCATCATTTTCAAAAACAGGAAATAGTATTTTCCTTTCAATATTTAACATATTTATTTCTAGTTATTCAGGAAAAAGCTAAGAATGTTGAAGAGCTGAAGGTCATTTATTTGTTTTACAAAATGCAGCAGAGACTGCAATTTATTTATTTAGCACATTTCCATACTGCTCAGTAGCCAAATGTCTCAGTCACAAAATGCAAGAATCCAACTGGAGGATATAAAATAAATTGAAACAGCCGTAAAGTAAATCCATAGTACAACAAACAACAACAGCAATGCAAGGATCCTGAAAGCATTTGAATTATTTTTCAAGTCAGAGAACAAAAAAGTCTGGAAGAATGAAAAATTATGCATTTGGCATCAACAACATCATTCATAGACATTCATGGGCCAAGAACTCAGCTGGGTACATGCACTGACAGAAGAAAACCAACAGCAAATTCATAAGGTGGTGATCCGCTCCTTGCACCTCCCACGGACTCTCAATATGTTCCCTGGAGGGCTGGGGGAAAAACTCTCAGAACTGAGTGTTGAGGACTACAAGCAAGAGAAGGCCATAGTCTTGCTGTAGGGGGAGAAAAACTGCCTCCTCCTGGATCCACTACTACAAAGCTTCTTCATTTGAAAGAGGGAGACCAACCCAGAGAGACTCCTCTTGGTTACAAGGACATATTAAGTCTCTCTGGGTAGAGCATTCCAGAACTGAACACCACAAACTGAAAACATATTGTAACCACCCATTTCAGTTCATTTCATAGAGGCATCTGGAGAAGGGTCTACGAAATTGAACTTTCCCTAACATTATTGTCTTCTCCAGAAGAGAAAGGGAACTGCTGCATGAAAGCATCAGGCAAGCATACCTGACTTCTTTTAAGGACTAGCAGAACTCTCCATTAGGCCGTGGAGTTTTGGATTTCAACTACATATCCCACAATTCTCCATTCTTGGAGTTCTACTTCACAGACCTGGAGGGCTGAGAAAACCCTCAGAACCGAGTGTTAAAAACTACAAGAGAAGAGAGAGAAGGCCATCATTCTGTTGCAGGGGGAGCAGACTCCCTCCTCCTGGAGCCACTACAGAACTTACCTGGGAGAAAGACCTCAACTGCACAGCTTTGAGGCTTACCTAGTCTTAGCTCTGACTTGTTTCTTATTCAGAAAGAAAGCTGCCAGCTAGCACTGGAACGGGAACAGGAAATGTGGGCACAGTTAGGTCTAGCTGAGCCTCAAAGCCTTCAAGTAGAAACCTTTCTCCCAGGTGAGAGACATTTAGGCATTGATCTGACAGGTAGCACTCCGAGAATGGGGAATTATGGGATATGTAATCCAAGAAATCCCATCCCTACTCTCCATTTGTCTTATCATCAGACACTAACAATCCACCCTATAGTTACAGAAGATTTCAAGTGAGCCTTTACCAATATTTTGTCTTTCAGCTTTGAGTTCATAATATAGCTATCTTCACTGATATGAAAAACAGTACGTATGTGTAAACCACAGCTTATTTAATGGATACACTTTACATCAACAGATACAAGTGAAACATACTCCTGTAACAAAGTAATAATGAAGTGAACCACAATCTCCAGGAGAGACATTACACTCTGCAATTAGCGGGTAGAATACATTCACATTTTAGTTATCATAGTAATAAGGATAAAGGTGCTTTAGCAGCATTTTAACAACAAAATTCAATATTGAAGTTCTATCCAAACTGTAAATAACAATCTAAAAGCCAGTAAACAAAAAAAGGAAAAAATAGGCATCTAGTTTGACATAACTATGCAGAGCTTTCATGGATACTTAACTATAATATCCTACAATTATCAAACATTATCCCACAAATGAATTGTTTTTTAACTAGTTATCATGAGAATTATATATTCTCTTCTGCTTTTCAGCACATGCAATCTTCTTTCCACCTTGACATCATGAAAACAACTAACGGAAGTTAGAAAATGAGCTAAAAAAAGCAGTAATTATGAGACCCAGTATAAAATATATCAAAAATAGGCAAATGATGAGTAAATTTCACTGCTGTATGAATAACTCCCTTCTTTTTTGCTCTCACAGGCCCCCTGTCCATGAGAAAATCTGCTCTGAAGAATCCTCCAACCCTCCAGAAAAAAACAAGCAGCTGCTACATGTAGGTTGGATTCATTTTGCCAGCACTGCCCATTATTATGCATTTAAAAAATGTGGATTTCATTAACCTTCCCCCTTTCTTCTTCTTTTTGCTAAAACATATAGATTCCAATGCTATACATCAGTACTTGTAGTTGTTTAATGACATCGCTTGGTATTTACAGGTGAACTACTGTTAGAATATATAGATATTTTATGTCTAGAAAATCCATAGGCATCGTCCTTGCTTGAGCACATTTTGTGGTCTGTGACAGCCTGATGTTTTTTTTATGTGACTTGTGAGCTGGCTGAATAGAAGAGGGAGACCAACCCAGAGAGACTCCTCTTGGTTACAAGGACATATTAAGTCTCTCTGGGTAGAGCATTCCAGAACTGAACACCACAAACTGAAAACATATTGTAACCACCCATTTCAGTTCATTTCATAGAGGCATCTGGAGAAGGGTCTACGAAATCGAACTTTCCCTAACATTATTGTCTTCTCCAGAAGAGAAAGGGAACTGCTGCATGAAAGCATCAGGCAAGCATACCTGACTTCTTTTAAGGACTAGCAGAACTCTCCATTAGGCCGTGGAGTTTTGGATTTCAACTACATATCCCACAATTCTCCATTCTTGGAGTTCTACTTCACAGACCTGGAGGGCTGAGAAAACCCTCAGAACCGAGTGTTAAAAACTACAAGAGAAGAGAGAGAAGGCCATCATTCTGTTGCAGGGGGAGCAGACTCCCTCCTCCTGGAGCCACTACAGAACTTACCTGGGAGAAAGACCTCAACTGCACAGCTTTGAGGCTTACCTAGTCTTAGCTCTGACTTGTTTCTTATTCAGAAAGAAAGCTGCCAGCTAGCACTGGAACGGGAACAGGAAATGTGGGCACAGTTAGGTCTAGCTGAGCCTCAAAGCCTTCAAGTAGAAACCTTTCTCCCAGGTGAGAGACATTTAGGCATTGATCTGACAGGTAGCACTCCGAGAATGGGGAATTATGGGATATGTAATCCAAGAAATCCCATCCCTACTCTCCATTTGTCTTATCATCAGACACTAACAATCCACCCTATAGTTACAGAAGATTTCAAGTGAGCCTTTACCAATATTTTGTCTTTCAGCTTTGAGTTCATAATATAACTATCTTCACTGATATGAAAAACAGTACGTATGTGTAAACCAGAGCTTATTTAATGGATACACTTTACATCAACAGATACAAGTGAAACATACTCCTGTAACAAAGTAATAATGAAGTGAACCACAATCTCCAGGAGAGACATTACACTCTGCAATTAGCGGGTAGAATACATTCACATTTTAGTTATCATAGTAATAAGGATAAAGGTGCTTTAGCAGCATTTTAACTGCAAAATCCAGTATTGAAGTTATATTCAAACTGTAAATAATAATCTAAAAGCCAATAAAAAAAGAGCAAAAAATAGGCATCTAGTTTGACATAACTATGCAGAGCTTTCATGGATACTTGACTATAATATCCTACAATTATCAAACATTATCCCACAAATGAATTGTTTTTTAACTAGTTATCATGAGAATTATATATTCTCTTCTGCTTTTCAGCACATGCAATCTTCTTTCCACCTTGACATCATGAAAACAACTAACGGAAGTTAGAAAATGAGCTAAAAAAAGCAGTAATTATGAGACCCAGTATAAAATATATCAAAAATAGGCAAATGATGAGTAAATTTCACTGCTGTATGAATAACTCCCTTCTTTTTTGCTCTCACAGGCCCCCTGTCCATGAGAAAATCTGCTCTGAAGAATCCTCCAACCCTCCAGAAAAAAACAAGCAGCTGCTACATGTAGGTTGGATTCATTTTGCCAGCACTGCCCATTATTATGCATTTAAAAAATGTGGATTTCATTAACCTTCCCCTTTTCTTCTTCTTTTTGCTAAAACATATAGATTCCAATGCTATACATCAGTACTTGTAGTTGTTTAATGACATCGCTTGGTATTTACAGGTGAACTACTGTTAGAATATATAGATATTTTATGTCTAGAAAATCCATAGGCATCGTCCTTGCTTGAGCACATTTTGTGGTCTGTGACAGCCTGATGTTTTTTTTATGTGACTTGTGAGCTGGCTGAATAGCTCAGTGGTTTAGGTACGTGGGTTAAACCACAGAAGCCTCTGTGCTGCAAGGTCAGAAGACCAGCAGTCGTAAGATCGAATCCACGCGACACAGTGAGCCCTCATCACTTGTCCCAGCTCCCACCAACTTAGCGGTTCGAAAGCATACAAAATGCAAGTAGATAAATAGGTAGCACCACGGTGGGAAGGTAACGGCGTTCTGTGTCTAGTCGTGCTGGCCACGTAACCACAAAAACCGTCTACAGACAAATGCTGGCTCTATAGCTTGGAAACGGAGATGAGCACCGCACACTAGAGTTGGAAATGATTGGAGAAATTGTCAAGGGGAACCTTTACCTTTACCTTTACTTACTATACCTGTAAATGTGGATGCCATTGTACAGTCCACATGGTACTTTTGCAGATGTTGCTTGGGTGATGGAGCCCAGGCATTTAGCATTCAGTAAGAATGAATTATGGAGAAAGCTAGATAGTTCCAGAAAACATCTACTTCTGCTTCATCTACTACGCAAATGCCTTTGACTGTGTGGACTACAGCAAACTATGACAAGTCCTTAAAGAAATGGGAGTGCCTGATCACCTTATCTATCTCCTGAGAAACCTACACATGGGACAGGAAGCAACATTTAGAACTGGATATGGAACAACTAATTGGTTCAAAATTGGGAAAGGAGTATGACAAGGCTGTATATTGTCTCTCTGCTTATTTAACTTATATGCATAATACATCATGCGAAAGGCTGGACTGAAGGAATCCCAAACTGAAATTAAGATTGCTGGAAGAAATATCAACAACCTCAGATATGCAGATGATGCCACTTTGATGGCAGAAACTGAGGAGAAATTAAAGAACCTCTTAATGAGGGTGAAAGAGGAGAGCGAAAAAAAATGGTCTGAAGCTCAACATCAAAAAAACTAAGATCATGGCCACTGGCCCCATCGCCTCCTGGCAAATAAAAGGATAGATATGGATGCAGTGACAGATGTTAAACAAAATTCAATATTGAAGTTCTATCCAAACTGTAAATAACAATCTAAAAGCCAGTAAACAAAAAAAGGAAAAAATAGGCATCTAGTTTGACATAACTATGCAGAGCTTTCATGGATACTTGACTATAATATCCTACAATTATCAAACATTATCCCACAAATGAATTGTTTTTTAACTAGTTATCATGAGAATTATATATTCTCTTCTGCTTTTCAGCACATGCAATCTTCTTTCCACCTTGACATCATGAAAACAACTAACGGAAGTTAGAAAATGAGCTAAAAAAAGCAGTAATTATGAGACCCAGTATAAAATATATCAAAAATAGGCAAATGATGAGTAAATTTCACTGCTGTATGAATAACTCCCTTCTTTTTTGCTCTCACAGGCCCCCTGTCCATGAGAAAATCTGCTCTGAAGAATCCTCCAACCCTCCAGAAAAAAACAAGCAGCTGCTACATGTAGGTTGGATTCATTTTGCCAGCACTGCCCATTATTATGCATTTAAAAAATGTGGATTTCATTAACCTTCCCCTTTTCTTCTTCTTTTTGCTAAAACATATAGATTCCAATGCTATACATCAGTACTTGTAGTTGTTTAATGACACTGCTTGGTATTTACAGGTGAATCACTGTTAGAATAGATAGATATTTTATGTCTAGAAAATCCATAAGCATCTAGCTTTTGTCCTTGCTTGAGCATATTTTGTGGTCTGTGACAGCCTGATGTTTGTTTTATGTGACTTGTGAGCTGGCTGAATAGCTCAGTGGTTTAGGTACGTGGGTTAAACCACAGAAGCCTCTGTGCTGCAAGAAAGCACTAGACCACACTGTTTACATGGGCTTTTTATGTGTTCACTGAAACTTTGTGAAAATACAGTTCTAAATCCGTGATTCTCTTACTAATTATACTTTAAATATGCTGTAATATTTCCCGTGTTCTGAAGGTTGTTCTTCCTAACGTTTCGCCAGTCTCTGTGGCCGGCATCTTCAGAGGACAGCACAAACGTTAGGAAGAACAACCTTCAGAACACGGGAAATATTACAGCATATTTAAAGTATAATTAGTAAGAGAATTACAGATTTAGAACTGTATTTTCACAAATTTTCTGTGAACACATAAAAAGCCCATGTAAACAGTAAGGTCTAGTGCTTTTACACGTGATATATTTATAGTCCCATCAAACCTGCATTTCTAGTTTTAGTGTTGCCATTATATATTCTAGCATGTATAGAAGGATCTTTTGATGTTCAGTGAAACAGAGCAACCTGGATAGTGGCCAGTAGACAGGCAGCAATAAATCCTGCAATCCCAAACATATGCTAGCATTAACATCCTACTTAAGGAAAAATAAAAAGTATAAATCTACATGTATTTATTTTTAGAGACAATTATGTCATTCCAGATGATACCACTGTGTGAAATTTATACCTGATGAATAAAGTCTCTCTTTTTTTGCCACAAAGGAAAAAGAAGACAGGAGGCAAGGGGAGGGTAGAAGCAAGATGGGTGATTACCTAAACTGGCCCACACACCTGCCTTCAGTGTTCCCCTTCTGGTGAACAGATGGAAGAACAAAATGATCTCCACAGTTCTAAAGCAAGACACATCAAAGCTTGGATTAAGAGCCAAAGTTTTCCTGTCTTGGGCACCAACCAAGGTAAGGAATTGTTAGTACATATATCAGAACCAGCCTTAGCAGACAGAAGAAGAGACACAAATGTCTTACTCACAGAACCCAGCAATCACACATGCTGGGAACAGACCAAACTAGAGCAAACCTCCCCATACCAAAAAAGTAGAATCCCCTGAGTGGGGCTCAGAAAGGTCCAAGTAGGGGGGTGTTCTGGGGATAGATTGGTTTGTTCTAGTGATTGTGTCATCTGATCACCAGAAAAAAAGAGTGAACCAACCCGTCTCTGCAACACATCAAACAGTAAAACAAATGCCTACCTCATTGAGCCCTCACTGAAGAAAGTGCTAATCGTTTAGATGGAGTGTACCCGTAAGAGGAAAATCTTTGCTTGTTTATTAGAGATGGAACTTTTGATTGGAAATGAAGCCATGACAGGCTCTTTCATTTACTTCCATGGTCTTTTGTTGGTTTCTGATTTGTGTACTGCAAAGTTGTTTACCATTTCCAACTTTTGTGGCCACTCTGGGACTTCTGTGGCCGCTCTGGGACTATGCAGCTTGCTCAAGACAACACAAGTTGGCTGCCAGGAGGCACAGTGGGGAATCAAACTCCTACCCTCTGGCTTTACAACCAGTTATCCAACTAACTGAGCTATCTAGCCAGCTGAGACATACTAGAACTGGAAACTAATATATGGTTTGAAACCCTTTTATTACAAATTTCTAAACTCCCATCTTCCATTCCCACTTCAACATTTCTGTGCTGTACCGTACCCAACTGTATCTGTCTCCTAGGAGAATAGAGAGCATGAGCAGAATGAATTCCCATGGTTCCCTGTAGCACCTTTAGAGGGATATATGGCAGGGAAGAAAACTGGTAGAAGTCCCATTGGGTGCAACAAAGTCTTCTTGTGTGACAGTACTCTGTATAAATAAGGTCACTAAAGTACATTAAATATTTTCTACTTATTCACTCAGGAGGTCTTAAAAGACCAGAATGTTATTGTTAGGTGACATTGTGCTCAACAACCAATTTCAGCCTTTCCCCCATCATTTTCCTTCTTGTCTTTCTTTAATTTTGCATTTCCACTTTAATCTAAATAGGCACTAAATAATGGCATTTATTGTATTTTTCCGTGTATAAAATGACACTTTTCTAGAGCAAACCTCCCCACACCAAAAAGGTAGAATCCCCTGAGAGGGGCTCAGAAAGGTCCAGGTAGGGGGTGTTCTGGGGATAGATTCGTTTGTTCTAGTGATTGTGTCATCTGATCACCAGAAAAAAAGAGTGAACCAACCTGTCTCTGCAACACATCAAACAGCAAAACAAATGTCTACCTCATTGAGCCCTCACTGAATAAAGTGCTAATCGTTTAGATGCAGTGCACGCACTCGGGTGCCTCTTGCTGCTGCCTACTGTCTCCCCTGCCTGCCCAATCACCATCTCCAGTAGGACTGATGGGCTTAGCTCATGTCGGCGGCGTCTTTCATGTCGGCAGCGTCTTGTCCCCCCTCCCCCGGTGGCTGAGGCAACAGGCAGAGGCGGAGGTAAACAAGCACTTGTGCATGCTTGGGTGCCTCTTCCTGCTGCCACCGCCAGATCATCTCCTTAGGCCAGGGGACAAGGCAGCAACGTGAGCTGGAGGTGAGCCCCAGCAGTCGCACTGGAGGAGGTAATTGGGCGGGCAGCGGAGGCAGCAGCAGCAGGAGGAGGCGATGGACGTGGAGGAGAAGTTGTCCATTAACTGCTCCTCCACCTCCATCAAGGGTCAAAATCAGGGGGTCATTTTATGCAGTGGGGGGTTGTGTACATGGAAAAATACGGTACATTAAAACTATTTTATTTCAGTCACAAAGGAAAGAAATTGATTACATATGCGGCAATTTATTCAAATGACTGGCGTATCTAAAATAAGAACAGGCTAGAATAAGCCTTCATTTAAATAAATGAATTACACTTTTTTTTCTTCAATCAAATATAGCTATCATTTCAACTACGATAAGGCTATAGTTCTATTTTTAGGAGTTGAGGCCCTAAATGACACTTACTTTTATGTAGACATGTTCAGGATTACACTCTAAAAGAGTCTAGCAAACAATGTAGAAAGTTACAACAGAATTCCAAAAATGTGTGCATTTGATAGTTCAGGTAAGTACTATAAGAAGGCAAAATTAAATGAGGTAAAAAGAACTTGGCCTGTACTTATCAAGTTCCTGGTTATTTCAGGACTATTGAGGAGTGAAAGAAACAATTTCATTATCCATACAAGTGTTTTTCAAAAAGGCTTTTGAAGCTTCATTTGTATCATATCATTTACCCACTATAGGCATTTGGGAACTGACGTAATCTGCTGAATGTTTTTCATACAAAGAGGCTGCAATACGTAGGGCTAAGATTAATATCAACAGGAAAGTAATATCACTTACCTTAGAAACAAAACATTCAGCTATAGCGACAGGATCGTTTTCACAGTTTTCCAAGTCTTGCAAAAGTTCACTAGTTCATATCAATAAAAAAGGAAAAATCAAAATTATTATTTTTAACACTCCAATTCCATCACATATTGCTAACAATCAAACACTGCACTTTATAAGTAAATTAGAAAAGATGCATTGTAGGGCTTAACATTTCATATTTCAGCTTTTTCTTATTTTTCTACAATTCTCTCTCCTTCTCTCCATCCTACTTAAAAAGGAATCTGTTCAGTGGTGTAGCAGCAGTACATTTCCTCTTCTGCTACTATGGACTCTCTCTCTCTGCCCAACATGGCTACTCCATCTTCAGTTATGCGCGCGCGTGCACACACACACACACACTCAGTTATGTGTGTGTGTGAGTGTGTGTGTGTGCGCGCGCGCACGCACGCACGCACGCACGCACGCACACCCCTCCATCAGGCTGGAGCAGATAAAGCAGGTTTTTCAAAACAAAAATATAGCAAGTAGGAAGAAAGAGAAAGCACGAAACAATTTCCTGCATTAGGCTAATATTTTAACAAATTTTGCCTTGCTAGATTTATAAACAAGCTTCCATGTGCCAGATGTTTATTTAACTTTGATATACTGGTAAGCAAATAGATTTTGACATTGTTTCTACAAGAATAGGTACATTTAATTTTTTTTGGACAAAACAGAGCAGGTACGGTAATTGACACCATAAGTCTAAGCATCACCGGTAATCACAACTGTCACAACTTTATATTTGTTTTTTATATTTTCTCTCAACAGGATTTTTGTTCATAACTTGTTGTATTTATTAGTTTATTTATTTAACTTGTCTACTGCACTGATTAGTAATAAACAATACTCTGGGTGGTTTACATCCAGAGTGAAATCAAGATAAAATAAAATGAATCATAAATGTAATATGAGACAAACACCACATATAATCAATAAAACAACTGTCAAAGAAATCAATAAAAAACCAAACAATGGTGAACAGGCAGGCAATCTAAGATAGTCATACTACATTAAGAGAAGATGCTCTCAAGACTTCGGTAAACAGCTTTGTTTTAAGCATCCTCTTAAAGGCTGTGAGGGAGGAAGTCAGGTGTAGCTCCACCGGAAGCCCATTCCAAAGGGATGGGGCCATGACAGAAAAGGCCCTATTCCTAGCTAATGACTTCCTGGCCTCCCTCAGTGTGGCAACCAAGAGGTACATAGCCTGAAAGGAATGGGTGGTGTGGGTGGATGTTTTTTTGGGAAAGTCACTCCAAGTGCTGAGGTCCCAAACTGATAGTTAAAATCCAATCCTGAGCATTTTGACCTAGAAATACCTCTGAGATCAGTGGGGTTTACTTATTGCCAAAGTGTGCCTCCAAAGCTGAATGTTTGCTTATACCAGAAGAAAATCCTATGGAAGAACTATCTGCCCTCCCACAGCAGCTCCTGAACACTCAAAAACCTGCTCAGGAAAACAGGGAAGTATATGGAGCCAGCTTTTTGGCATCCCTAAGGGAACCAGGGAGAGTGGATACATTCTGTGTCTTGTGAAAGCACACTGGATTTAGACCTAAACATGCCTATGCTTGTAACCTTCAGTCCAAAATAGGCATAGTAGACACAGCCGAGTTCCTCTTTCTCCTCAACGCCCAAGGTTTAGCTGCTGAAAAACCCCAGATGCCTTTTCACTGAGAGACTGAGATAGAGGTCCGTGGGGTTCAATATATTTTTCCTCACAAGCAGAAAAGCAACTGGAGAGTGGGTTTGGACAGGAAAACAGCTAGAAGAAGAAGGGGAAAAACAACAACAACAAAGCAGCCCTTTACTGACACACTGATCTTTTGTTCCTGGATCATACCCTCTGAGACTTCTTTTCACTTAAAAGAGATACTTGTGACTTCTTTCATACTGTCAAGAGAAGCTTTTGTTAATTAACTCCAGGTGAGCATATAAACAGAAGATTTACATGCATTTATATGTGTCACGCTGAGTTTTAACCATTTAACGTGATTGAAAGCATGTTTACTCAAAGGTGCCACTGAGTTCAACACAGCTTACTCCAAAATAGTTAGATATGTAGCCACGGAAAGTCTCCTACAACAAGCAAATTACTAGTTATTAGCTGGTACACGAATGATAGATAAGAGACCAGGGAATGCCCTCCCTCCTGCTGCTGCCATTCTTGCAGGGAAGGGAGAGCACATTTGTGGAGGCTGATGGAGAGGGAATGAGACTGTCTTTGAAGAATGTCTAGTGATTGCTAGGTTTCAGGCATAATTGTTCCAAGTCTCACTCAGCCTAAACTGTAGCAGGATTCTGGGAGTGGTGCCAGAACTGGATGCAGAGTAATCTGATTCCCCATTTTCCTCAGCATTAGTTGAGGCAGACATACAGCACAGACTTCAGCTGAGAAGCACTGTTGAGGCCCACTTTCTGGTGCCTCTGCAGCACCTTTAAATAGTTGTGGGGTATAGTGTAATTATAAGGAAGCATTTTTCTTATAGGCTCTTATTTTGTATCACTCTTCCTTTCCCAGTAGAATCAATCCATTATGAAGGGTTCAAAAAATGTATCCTTGTGTCCATGCTGTGCTAATTGTCCAAGTAAAAAATGAATATAGCAAGTAGCTTCACAGAATTAATATATTCCAGCTCTGACTTTCAACTCCTGAAACGTTTTTATGTGTTTGGACTGAGCCTTAAGAACTACCAGCTGCCAAAAACTAAAAAGGGAGGAAAAAATGTAATAAAAGTCCAATACTAGAAACCACTTGAGGGCAATTTAAATATAAATCTTGTGTTTACATGCTCACCTGGAATTATTTAACAAAAGCTTATCTTGATAATGTAACAGAAATTAAATGTAAATCAAAGTGCAAAAAAAAATCACTGTACAAAAATAGCTACTGTTGTCCACCAAGTATATAAAGTTAAAAAGAAGGGACACAATCACATGCCTGCCAACTGTGACTTGATGGAAGATAGGAGTTTATTATGCTGGCAGCATTTTGCACTAAATGGGGTTACACTCCCCCTAAGGGACAGGGTCCACAGCCTGGACTCCAGTCTAACTCTGGAAGCCCAGGTGGACTCGGTGGCCAGGGACGTCTTCCTTCATCTACGGAAATTGTACCAGCTACGGCCCTACCTGGACGAGTGGAGTCTCATGACAGTTACACACGCACTGGTAACATCTTGTATAGATTATTGCAATGTGCTCGACGTGAGGCTGCCTTTGAAAACGGTCCGGCGACTGCAACTGGTCCAGAATCGAGCTGCGCAGCTGGTGAGTGGTGGGGCCGCTAGGGAACACATCAAGCCGATTCTGTTTAAGTTACATTGGTTACCAGTTGATACCCGGGCCCAATTCAAAGTGCTTGTTTTGACATATAATGCCCTAAATGGCTTGGGCCCTGGATACCTGAAGGGACTGCCTCCTTCCATATGAGCCTACCCGGCTGTTAAGATTTAGCCAGCGGGCCCTTTTGAAAGAGCTGTCCCTCAAGGAGGTAAGAGGGATTGCTTGTAGACAAAGGGCCTTTTCGACAGCTGCCACCAGATTATGGAATGCCCTCCCAAATGAAATTCATCTGGCGCCGACATTTATGACATTTCGGTGCCAGGTCAAAACCTTCCTGTTCCAGAAGGCTTTTAATTGAAATAACATCAACTGTGGGTCCTGATGGCAATTTTAATTGTATTTTAAGCATTTTTTATTGTATTTTAATTGAATTTTAATTGTTTTAAGCCACCCAGAGACCTTTGGGTAGAGTGGGCGGCATATAAGTTAAATAAATAAATAAATAAATAAATAAATAAATAAATAAACAAATAAATAAATAAATAAATAAATCACCGTAAGACCTTTGGTCTTCATCTTCCAGTCCACCACTCTTTAATTACATAGGCTAAATATGTATGTGGAGCATGGCAAAGAAACAGAGCTGCATTGTAGAGAATTAATCTTTGTTCTAGAAAGCTATTGTGAAAACCTTTATGTAAATAGTTTGAGGAGCAAACAATGGAGCATGCCCACCTTTATTTGAGCAGCAAACAATGGAGCATGCCCACCTTTATACCATCTTCCTCTGGGCCACAAATTCTGAAGAGATGATCATTGGTTATTTGTGTTAATTTTTCACTATGTCCATTGTTTGATCACAAACAAGAAAAGTAGACAAATGGAAGGATCCTTGCAGCTTCAGGGAAAATAAACAAGATAAAAAGATGTGGAGCAGGCTTCGCTGAAGAAATCCCAACTTCTTGGGTGAAAAGGTAAGACAATGTGCTTTTCCTGTTCGAATGTTTTGTGCAATTTTAATTTCTTACCATTGTGGTTATATTTATGGGAGTTGTAGCTCATAGTTTAAAGAGGGCACCAGGCCAGCCACCCCTGCCCAAGGTATACATTGGGTCTGGAGAAGGTAAATTGCTATCTTATCTTGGCAATAGCTTAGCCCTAGTCTTTTTCTCATTGTAGGAAAATATAATATGTGAAGGGTAGCCAGCTAATGCAACATAATCTTGTTCTTCAGCTGTCCTGTTTGTCCCAAGCCACATCCATCTATGAATGTTTGTTACAAAGCAGCATGCAAGCCTTTTTAGAGTAAGATGTCCAAGAAATGGTTGGTGAGAGTCATGATGACTGGCTCCGGGGGCCAAGCTAGAGGCATGTACCTATCTTATGCTTTCATTTGTTTTGCTGTCATACCACAGACATTTTAGAATGAAGTATTACCCTCCTATCTGTTGGGGGGGGCAGGGGGAGAGAACAGTCATCATATATGGTTGTACTACGGCTGTTTGTTTACTTACCTATTGAAATGATAGATATCTTTTATGTTTCCAAACAAAGCAGATCGGTCCTCCGTTCCCAAAGAGAGCTTGGATTGGTCAGTGATGCAATCAAGGTAGTCCTATGAAATAAATTAAAAGGGTTCCTTAAACATGTTGTTCTTTTATTCTTCAGTAAATGGAACTATTTTTAGTCATGAAAGATGAGTCTTCTCACTAGATCAATTTCACTTTATATTACTGTAATCCCTTTAGTAGTTTTACCCTGAACAGTCCTCCTATTATAGAAGCTAACAATACTTATCTGTTCACCAACACCATAGAAATAAACCCAAAGACTGAATGCTTCTTTTTGCTGCTCAGACTGTACACTGTATGTTTTCCAAGCTGCAGATGTATTCAGATTTCATCCACAGTGACAGCTTAATGTTCTCCATTAGTTATTCAATAAGTTCAATGACATATTCCTATGAGTTCCACCTACCCACCCCTAGTATTCTTAATACATCTGAATTTCATATAGATAGTATAAACAGAAGCTTGTAAAAAGATATGGCCATGTTACAAAGCTATTGAAAAAGCATTTTTAAATTTCCAAAACACCGTGTAATATAAACATCACAGTTGCTGGTTTGTAAAGAATAGAGATTCTTTTGTTTTGAGTTGCCCATCTGGTATAATGACAAGGAGTTTCGTGTGCAATACTGTGATGCAGTACCAGAAATACTTATTCACATGTGGGACAGTTATGCAGAGTACAGTTTAGGCCACATGAATTATAAATGAAGGTAGCTTCAGAAAAGGCTTTAATAACAACCATCAACTTCACAGAATTGCAGAGCTGGTAGGGACTCTCTGGATCATCAGGTCTAGCCCCTCTCAAGAAGGCAAGTGAGGAATTTAACTCTCAACCTCCAGTTCCACAGCCAGATACCTCAACCACTGAGCTACAGTAAGAAAAAGACAGAAGCAGCAGTAGAAAAACAAGTGAAGATTTCAAATGGATGATCATAATGTCTGAAGCCTTTGTAAAATTAAGTGAATGAGGCAAGAGAATAATATGACAGCAGACTCCTCTGAAACTACTTTTAATCTGGAAAGCACTACTATGGCTCAGTGGGTTTTGGTTACCATGCACACGGATTATCTCTTGTGCTGGGAAACTATTATGTTCCTGCAAAAGAACTGCTGTACACTGACAATCTCTTTGGAATTCAAATTAGAGTGCAAATTCAGTCCATCATACACACTCTAAAAATGTCAGGTGAAGAATGGAAGTGTAAGCCATTACTGATCTTTTTGCCACTTTGTTCTCCTCTTGCTTCTTTTTCATTCATGTCAGAAGCAATCCTATGGTACTGCCAGATTGGAAGGATCAGACAACAGAATGTTGTCATTGTGTGGGGGACACACAATCTAGAACTCCTTATAAACTTACAAGGAAACACCTTGGTTTCTGGAAAACCACACCAAAGACTCTGCTCTAACAGAATGGAAATACAGGGGTTTCCCCCCCTTGCATTGCCTTCTGATTGCCCATAACACCCAGCAACGAGGTTCTGCTTTTAGCATGCAATAGTCATATACTGTAGACACAACTCAGATTTTCATACTAAATATTAATTCATTGTCTGTCAATCTCCATGTCTTCCATCAAGTCTGCTGTGCCATCATCTCCTATAAATTCTACTTGCTATGGATCCACTCAACATTTTGGCAGGTTAATAGCTTCTGCCAGGAATCAGCTATTGTTTATTATACTCAGCAGTATTATTGTATTTATTTTTCAGCTATGGATGGAATTATTATTTTGTTTGCGTTACTTCCAACAATAATACTGAAATTTTCATGTCCTTAAACCTTACCATAATCAGCAAGTCTCTAATCTTTTACCTCATTTCATAGTGGGGCCCATACTGGGATCACTCTTTGATGAGTGATTGGTAGAATGTAAGATACAAAAGGTTGAGAACCACCAGCCTAAACAATGAGATTCCAGTCTTATTGAGAGCTGGTCACAGGTGTAATCACAAAATGATTAATTACTATGAGGAGCATGCACATTTACACAGTGGCTACCATGCCACACATACGCCTAGGGGGCACAGGAACACAAAACAGAGAGGGGATGAGATGCCAGAGCAGGTTAGTATTTGTATCTACAAGCACAGTGAAGGAGATCTAAAATATATTACCTGTTAGGAATCTACCTGTTTTACATAAGGCTGTGCATAACTTGATTTCTCATTAGCTGAACAACAGGCTCCAGTGAGAAATACTATGCTTAAGCAAGCATTAAATGAGAATAAAATTACACAGCTGTTGCTAGACCTTTGTGATTTATTCACATATAAAAATTTGTCCCTTTAGGTTGCCATCAACAGGTGCTGATGTGAACCAGTGCACTGGACAACTATTTAACATAGGAAAATACATAGTGTATCTCTAAAACATTTCTAAAGAAACTGTGGAGAAAAGAAAACAATAATGTAAGAGTGAGAACAGCTGGAATCACATTAATAAAACCCCAACACAATCCCTAGCTTGAGGGTTTAGACAACACACAGTGGCAATCTACCAATGGCAACAGCACTAAATTCAAGGAATTCAGGGAAATGTCAGCAAGACATTCCAAAACCCACAAAATACTGGGATTGAGAACAGCAGAAAAAGATGTTCATCAAGAAAAGATGAGCGGGGGAGGAAGGATTTGGATGCTGAACCACATACATCTGTGTTCTGATGTTTTCTAACAGCAGTATTCTCTTGGTGAATGAACAGTCATTTAAGCCTTAAGCAGTTATAAGAAACACAAAGTTGTCATAACAAATAGCTGCTCTTTGACTCATTCATTTCTGTCTCTTGACTGTTGTGGGACCCTCTGGAAGAAAATGAGATATGGTATAGAGAGGGTTGCAAACAGACAAGGGCAACAGCTTTCAAGAATTTAGTGCAGTGTGGTTTTCTGCTAAGGCAGTCGCAAGGGAATGCAGTCTTGCATGTTTTAAGAAGGTTTATTGCTAGCTGCCTTTAAGCATATCTGCCCCATTAAAATATACTTTAATTGAATAATTGTTTGACTTTTACTACCATATAAAAGTATCAAATATTCATTGGACCTTTTTATTACAGGATAATAAAAACAATCACTGTTGCTGAAGTAAAAGGAAGTAACAAGGTACATGGACACATCTCATGCTTTCAGGTGCTACAACCAATAGGTTTAAGAAGAAAACAGGTAAGTACATGGTTAAAGCCTAAAACCAGTGGCCTTCATGTGTTGAAACAATCTACACAAGGAGGATTTGTGTATGTTGCCATTCTTCTCTACACACTGCACAAATCAGGTTTGGTTTTAAGATGCAAGCCCACAAGAGATGGATTTGGCTCACATCTGTGGCAGACCTCCCAGCATGAGTTTTTTCCTCAGGCCTTTGTTCCAAGGGAAAGAGGCTGGCCCACAACCGCATTGCCCTCTTCTTGAATGAACTCCAAAGCTGCCACAAATTCAAAGCAGATTTCCTCCAGGCCTTCTGGCTTCTCATCTATCCCCCAGAATTGGTGCCATCCAAGGCCTGGACACTTGCATTTTAAAAATAATTTATTCTTATTACCTATTTGAATGTTAGGAAAGCAATTTGCTATCATCACTTGTTATCATATATAAAAACTACTGCAAGACATGTTACATTGCTCTTTTTTAATGTTCTATTGCTTTTAAAAAAAGACAATTTGGATTTCTAACAAAATGGCATAAAACTTGAAGTTCCATCAAAATGCCCCTAAAATGGCCAAAATTCCTTTAAAAGCAACTTTTAAAGAAACTAGAAAACACCCGACATTAAACTACATTCACTGCATTAATTTTGAAATATAACTTCAATACGCGCCTAGTTACGAAAGGAAGCTCACTTAAGGTTAACACAGTAACTGTGATTCTCTACAAAATGGTTCATTACAGGAGACCACAGTAGTGTCACTGCACCTCTGCATCTCTACTCCAAGAGTTCCTGCCCAATTATTTTTTAGACATATGCCTTCTGTCTTCCCAAAGAATGTGTAAATGTTGTCCAAATTAATCATTATGTGTAACCTAAAACAGAAAACTGATTTCCAGTTAGGAACAATGTGACCCTGTTTAAGTGCAATTTCATATCCACCCACTGAAGACATGTATTAACAAAACTCCATGACATCTTCTGCATAGTCTCCTGCATGCATGACCTGAACTTCTACTTTCTATTCCACCCCCATTACCTTATGACCTCATCTCTAAAGTCTGTTCTTCTAAAATATGCTTGCATATTAAGTCATTTTACAACAATGTCCCCAGGGCTTCCTGAAACTGTGGGTGACCTTTTGTTTTCACTCACAAGCAGCCTTGCAACAGAGACTTAAGAAGATTCATGAAGCAGAAGGGATTGCTGCACACAGAGCAATCTGGGTCAAAAGACTGAAAGAGTGAGTGAGTGAGTGAGTGAGTGAGTGAGTGAGTGAGTGAGTGAGTGAGAGAGAGAGAGAGAGAGAGAGAGAGAGAGAGAGAGAGAGAGAAAGAAAGAAAGAAAGAAAGAAAGAAAGAAAGAAAGAAAGAAAGAAAGAAAGAAAGAAAGAAAGAAAGAAAGAAAGAAATTGTGTCCTTTAAAAGTAATTTATAATGCACAAAATAATTTATAATTCAGTTAAAGGATGGCTTAAGGTATGGAAAAAAGACACTGAAAGTCAGACTAATTGCTAACAGTTTTGTGTTTTGGCAGGTTCTAGTAACCTAGCCATTCATGGTAAATTCCTACTTTTGAGTAGCAGAATTACAGTTAGACACCGGCTGCTTTTTCTTGGGGAGAAAAACAAAGACCCACAACATTCAAATGAGATTAATGACATTCACAGTTTTTGATGAATCTTAGTCATTAGGGGAAGGTTGGGAGCATACACTTCAGCTCTTCCTTGCCCTACTTCTTATCTCCACTTCTAATTAGCATTAAATAATTTGCCTCTTGCTTTGACCTTCAGATGTTTGGAAGGAGGAGAAATATTTTAAAATGTTGAAACACTTTCCGTTTTACAAATGTTTTGGTCTTGCTTTGTTGTTAACTAGACTGAGTGTCCTGTTTATAGGAAGGCA